AATGGGTTGTTGTCGGCCACATGGCAGAGCGAGGCTGGTCTGGTCCCCGAGCCAAAAATACCTCGTCTGGTCCTTTATAGGAAGAAGTTTGCTGACACCTGCTCCGAACTGTCCCTTTCTGCTGGCTCCTTGAGCTCAACTCTTTCTCTGAGCACCCCTAAATAAAGCTTTTTTTTTTTTTTTAACCTTCATTGCTTGTATCACCACTAGACTAAGATACTATGTATCTTTTGGAAAATATTCTGTTTACTCCTGGTCTCTCCCCTAGAATGTCACCTCCCCAGGGGCAGGCATTTTTATCTATCTTGGTCACTGCTGTATCCCATGCAGGACCGGCTATAGATTTTGCAGGGCCCAGTGCAAAATGAAAATAGGAAGTCCCTTGTTAAAAAAAAAAAAAAAAGTATTAAGAATGCCAAGATTTGGCCAGGTGTGGTGGCTCACGCCTGTAATCCTAGCACTCTGGGAGGCCGAGGCGGGAGGACTGTTCAAGGTCAGGAGTTCAAGACCAGCCTGAGCAAGAGCAAGACCCTGTCTCTATTAACAATAGAAAGAAACTAATTGGCCAACTAACAATATATATATAGAAAAAATTGGCCGGGCATGGTGGCGCATGCCTGTAGTCCCAGCTCCTCAGGAGGCTGAGGCAGGAGGATCGCTTGAGCCCAGGAGCCTGAGGTTGCTGTGAGCTAGGCTGACGCCACGGCACTCTAGTTCGGGCAACGGAGCGAGACTCCGTCTCAAAAAACAAACAAACAAACAAAAAAAACAATTCCAAGATTCGGAGAGCAGAGAGTTATAGTGAGGGTGGGACCCTTCTAAGTGCGGGTTCATGAACCTGACCTTGATCTTGCTATAGCAGGGCCTGGCACACAGTAGGTGCTAAATAAATGTGTTGAACAAATTAAAGAAGTAGCGACTTGAAAATAAAAATTAGAGAGACAGAGAGAGAGAGCGTGACATTCCAGGAAGTATTGAGGTCTTGGAGTCTACGAATCTCTACCGACCCCAATCTTCCCACATGTGGGAAAATTCAAACCGGAAATAAGGCCAGAGGTGGGGGGGGCATCGGAGAGCAGGTGCAAAGCTCCCATGGCTCCTGCTCTATGGCTGGAACACTGAGCCCAGAGATGGCCCAAGAGGACTCCGAGCGAGCAGCGCCTCCAGTTGGGCACCAAAGAAAGAGCCCCCCTTAGGGACAAAGGAAGGTGCAGGGAGCGGCCACCTGTCTGGGGAGGTGACGGGAGCCGAGGTGTGGTGGCCGCCTGGCAGGGAGGGAAGGGCGGGCCGCGGGAGCCGCAGAGGCAGGCCCCGCAGTCACGGTGTTTGCTGTCTTCCCTTGGGGCTGCTGAACAAAAGCTGAACTTGACTCCCAGCTGCCTGCCTGGAAATCCGAGAAGGGCAGGTGGAGGGGGACAGCCGGGTGCCCGGGGAGGGGAGGGTGGAGGACAATGTCCCTGTCCCCCAACACACAGGCCTCCCATCTGCTGCGACATCTCCAGCCCAGCCGGCCCGACCCCGGCTCCCCAGCCGGCTGAGACCCTCGCATGCGCGTTAAGGTTTGGACACCTGCCAAACCGCCCACCAAGTCGCCATAGCAACGTTTCGAAACACAGCCATGTCCCAAAGAGGTGTCACTTAATTTTAGGACCTGCACACACTTTTTGAGAGATGTGATTGAAAATAGGTTTCCTTTTTTTTTTTTTGAGACAGAGTCTCGGCTTTGTTGCACACAGCTAGAGGTGAGTGCCATGGCATCCAGCCTAGCTTCACAGCCAACCTCAAACTCCTGGGACTCAAAGCAATCCTCACTGCCTCAGCCATCCCCGAGTAGCTGGGACTAAGCATGCGCCACCATGCCCGCTCATTTTTTCTTATATATTAATTATGATTGGAAGTCTAATTAATTTCTATTTTTAGTTAGAAGACGGGGTTCTCGCTCTTGCTCAGGCTGGGTTATCGAACTCCTGACACCATCGAGCAATCCTGCCCGACCCGGCCCTCCCCAGAGTGGCTGGATTCACAGGTGTGAGCCACCGCGCCCAACCGAAATAGGTTTGCTTTTGAGATTAAACAATTACACGGTGTGGTTTGCCACCAGCTGCCTCCTCTCAAGGACTCTTGGGGAGCGACATGAATAATATGCACACGGCCCTGGAACAATCCTGGTCTGAGCCATGGGTCTCACTCCTACCTGGATTTCCTTCCACCTCTGCCACGCCTCAGACAGCAAGACCCACCCTTTCCTCTCCCTCCTCCCTCCTCCTTCCCCCTCCTCCCCCTCCTCCCCTTCCTCCTCCTCCTCCTCTTCCTCCACGTGGAGACCATGAGGACAGAGACATTTAAGACAATCCACTTCCACTTCATGAACAGTAAATCTATTTCCTCTCCCTTCTAATTTTCTTTTCTTTCCTTTTTTTTTTTTTTTTTTTTCGAGACAGTCTCACTCTGTAGCCCGGGCTAGAGTGCTGTGGCGTCAGCCTGGCTCACAGCAACCAACTCCTGGGCTCAAGCGATCCTCCTGCCTCAGCCTCCAGAGTAGCTGGGACTACAGGCATGCGCCACCATAGGCCGCTAATGTTTTCTATATATTTTTAGTTGGCCAATTAATTTCTTTCTATTTATAGTAGAGACGGGGTCTCGCTCTTGCTCAGGCTCCTTTTGGAACTCCTGACCTTGAGCAATCCGCCCGCCTTGGCCTCCCAGAGTGCTAGGATTACAGGCCTGAGCCACCGCGCCTGGCCTAGTAGTTAAGTTTTGGGAGGACAGAAGTTATACATGGATGTTTGGCTGTTCAGAGGGTCCATGCTCCTAACCCCTGCATTGTTTAACGGTCAACTGTAATTGAGTGATGAAAAATTTTTAGGAACACGCCACACAATGAATGAAGCTGACCTAATGCCAGATATTTTATAGGTCAGTGAACCATTTCTCCCTCCCTCTCTCTCTCCCTGTCTCTGTCTTTAGTCAATGTCCTCCCCCCCACCCCCAGGCCAATCATGTCCATAGTAACACAGCCCTGGGGGGAGGCAAGTGAATCACTTCTTCGCTGGCTGCGTGACCTTGAGCAAGTATCTTAACCTCTCTGGGGTTCTTTTCCTCATCTTTAAAATGGGGATAATAAAAACTCCTACCTCGTAGCATTGTGGTGAGTTTTAAACAGCTGACAACCACAAAGCACATCGTAAGCTCTTTATAGTGTCCAAAAAGAAATAAATGAAAATGAACTAAATAAAAAGGAATTCAATGGCGTTAAATTAAAACGTTTTTAGCCGGGTGCAGTGGCTCATGCCCGTAATCCCACCACTTCCGGGAGGTTGAGGTGGGAGGATCACTTGAGGCCAGGAATTTGAGATCAACCTGGGCAACATAGCAAGACCCTGTCTCTACAAAACATAGAAAACTTGGCAGGGCGTGGTGGCGCCTGTAGTCCCAGCTAATCGGGAGGCTGAGGCAGGAGGATTGCTTGAGGCCAGGAGTTGGAGGCTGCAGTGAGTTATGATGACCCCACTGTACTCCAGCCTGGGCGACAGAGTGAAACCTTGTCCTTAAAAACAATCTTTTGAGTTTAAATAAAATTAAAATAAACAATAAAACGAATGAAAATACTAACATAAATATATAACTAAAAATAAAATACTGAAATAAACTACATTGGGTAAACTAAGAAAAGCCACAAAGGTGTCATGACATACCCAGAGTCCTCCAGGACGTCAGGGACAGAGGGAGGATTCGAACCCGGAGCCACCTGACTCTAAATCCAGGCTTGTCACACTGGTGCCTGTTTTTGGCTTTCCGACCTCTGCCCCGACAAAAGATTTTGCCCGTCGTGCTCACGAACCAACCAGTCCAGTCCAGCCTCCGAACCTTTGCCCACACTCATCCTCACCCCACTCGTGTGCCTTTGCTTATCCTTCCAGCCTCTGCTCCAGCCTGCCTCCTCCAGGCAGCCGCCCTGATTGCTCCAGAGCAGGCAGGATGGGGAGGCCGCATCATACAGTCATAAAGACCAAAGGCTCAGAAGTGAAGCACATGTGGGTATGAATCTTTCCTTCACCCCTTTGCCTTGTGACCCGGAGAGGTGAGTTAACCTCTTGGGGCCTCAGATTCCTCATGGTTGTCAGTGAGAAGTCAAATCAAATAAAAGTTGCCAGGGCAACCAGCTTGATGGACCTCAGGGCCTTTGCACTGGCTGTTCCACCCACCCAGGATGCAATTCCTGCACACACACACACCACGCCCTCCCCCTTCCCTATCCGATCATTGCTCCAATGTCACCTTCCCTGACCACCCTCTTTAGAACTGCAGCCCTCTCCCCTGGCCTAGCCGTGCCAACCCCCCCACACACACTTCTTTGTCTCTACGACACAAAGTAGACTTTGTCACTCATTTGTGTTGTTCCACGTCCCCCACGCGCTGTCAGCCCCTCGAGGCCAAGGATTTCGGTCCGCCCTATTCCTCTGGGCCTAGAGCTGCACCCGACACACTACATATTTCCTGAGTGAACATGCGAAAGCAGGGGATCAGGGTCCCCAAGAAAGTGGGTCCTTGGAACAGCAAGCGGTCACCGTGGCTGAGGACAGCCCAGAGGCACTGGAGTGGCGGTGCCGGGGCAGATCTCCAGGGCTGGGGAGGGTTTCACCGGCAGCCGTGCAGGGGGAGGTGGCGCAGGGGGAGGTGGCTGCAGGGGGAGGTGGCTGCAGGGGGAGGTGGCGCAGGGCAGGTGGCGCAGGGGGAGGTGGCGCAGGGGGAGGGAACGGGCGGGGCAGAGGCGCGGTGGTGGGAAAGCCAGCTCGGGACAGCAGGGGCAGCAGAGAGGGGCGGGCAGACAGGCGGGCAGAGGCTAAAGGGCAAAGGCAGCAACCTGGGGGTGGGGAGCAGAGAGGGCCCGGGTCACACTGAAGATGAATTCGATGACAGGCGGGAGACGACAGTCCCAAGGCCTAGCCCCGGAGACAGGAGCCGGCGGGTATCCAGCAGCTCGGCGGCCTCAGACTCACCTCCGTCTTCTTAAACCGCGCCCGGAGGGTCTTCATGGCCGGCGTCCCCGCGTCTCCTGGTCCCCGGCCACCTGCGGACGGGCAGGGGTTGGGGCGTGAGGAACGCCAGTCCCGGGGGCAGGCGGGCGGAGGGTCAGCTGCTTCCCCGCCTCCAAAGGACGTGGTTGGACAGCAGGACGCAGACCTGCTCTGGCTCCTGCCTGCTGTGTGTCCTGCGGCAGGTTCCTTGTCCTCTCTGAGCGTCACTGCCTCATTTATACGGAGACAGAGATAAGCCCTTCTTGCTTTTTGAGACAGTCTCGCTCTGTCACCCAGGCCGGAGTGCAGGGGTGAGATCACAGCTCACTGCAGCCTCCAACTCCTGCGCTCAAGTGATCCTCCTGCCTCAGCCTCCCAAGGAGCTGGGACTACAGGTGCCACCATCATGCCTGGCTATTTTTAAAATTGTTTTGTAGAGACGGGGTCTTGCTATGTTGCCCACGCAACATAGCAGGTCTCACACTTCTGGCCTCAAGTGATCCTCTCGCCTCAGCCTCCCAAAGTGCTGGGATTACAGGCTCGAACAATCACACCTGGCCTGAGATAAGCCCTTCTTGGCCAAGTCATGGTCAGTTTTCAGTAAGATCCCTTGCACAGAGCCTGGAAAACATTAGGTGCTCAATAAATACATCTATCTGGTATTTCCTGTTGCCCAAACACATAGAGGTTTTTCTGGTCTCCAAGCTTTTATCTGTGCAGTTATTTTTGCCTAGAATGCTTTTTTTTCCTCACCCCCTTTCTGCTGAACTCCTATTCATCCTTCGCAGCCCAGTTATAAAAATCCCTTGCTCTGATTAGCTCTGCTTCCCGCCCCCACGCAGAGCTCTAACTCCCCAATTGGGTCCCCCTCACCCTGGCTGGTCTCGTCCTCTGCGTTAGCCCTAGATGCACAGGCCTGGAGGGGTCTGGGCTGGTTCCGTCTTCCTCAACAGTTGGAGGCTCCTTGGGGACTGAAGGCAGGGCTGAGGTCCCCAGCACAGAGCTGTGTTTGCGGGACTGTCAGAGGGACAAGGCTGTTCCTTGCAGCTCAGCCCCTCGTACCAGCCTGGCCTCTGTGTGAGCGACAGCAACTCCCCCAGGGCGGGTGCAGATCTGGGTGACAGGGCTGCGTGTGTGTGTAGGAATATCTCAAGGGGCTGTTTCTTGAGGCATGTGACTGGGGGTGCCCATGTCCAAAAGGACTCTCTGTGGCCGAGTGTCCTTATTTGCTTCCTGCCAGAGAGTGGGGGTGAGACGGCCTTTCACCTGTCCACCTGCCCGTGAATTTTCCACGCCACCTTTCCGCCCATCCGCCACCCGTGCACTCACTGCGGCGTCTGTCCTCCCGCCATGCACCCACCCGCTGGCCACCCCCAACGCTCCCACAAATCACCTTCTCTCGGTTCAGTGTCCTTCAGTCAAGCTCCGCCCACACACACGCACACGCACATCCACCCACCCACCTACCATCCATCCACCCGCCCATCCACCCCCCATCTACCACCCATCAACCACCCCCATCCATCCTCCCACCTACTCACCCACCCATCCATCCACCACCCAACCACCTCCCCATCTACCACCCATCCACCCACCCATCTACCCATCCACCCCCATCCACCCATCTACCCCAACCACCCCCATCCACCCATCCATCTACCCATCCACCCCCCATCCACCCATCCATCTACCCATCCACCCCATCCAACCACCATCTACTCACTACCCCACATCCAGCCCACCAGTCCATCTACCCATCCACCCCCATCCACCCATCCATCTACCCCCATCCACCCCATCCCACCCATCCATCTACTCCATCTACCCCACATCCACCCATCCATCTACCCCCATCCACCCCTATCCACCCCCAATCCACCCCATCCATCTACCCCCATCCACGCCCCCCATCCACCCCACCATCTAACCCCATCCACCCCATCCACTCATCCACCTCCCCCATCCACCACCCATCCATCTACCCATCCACCCCCCCATCTACCCATCCACTCCCCATCCACCATCCATCTACCCCCCATCAACCAACCCCCATCCATCCTCCCACCTACTCACCCATCCATTCATCCATCCACCCACCTACCCATCCATCCACCCTTCCTCCCCCCGATCCATCCACCCCTCTGACCATAATCCATCCATCCACCCACGCATCCATTCATTCGCCATCCACCCATCCACTCTTCCACTCATTCACTCACTCCTCCAGCAGTCACTCTCTCATTCACTCACCACCCAGCCCGCCCTTTTTCTTCTACCCCTGGCCAGTGGACCCAATCACACCCAAAGCAGGTGTGACAGACACCCAAGAGAGGAGCCCACAGGCGGCCTGGGGAGGAGGGGGCCCACGGGCTCGGGGGAGGGAAATGCTGGGTAAACCTAGGGATCTGTTTCCTGGAAGAAGTGACGGGGAGCGCTAAGGGCCTGATGCCGGGCAGGACGTTGAGCACCAGTGGCCGGAAGGCGGGCACGTAGTGTAGGCCGGGCAAAAGCTGGCAGGGGGAAGAGCGTGCATGTGTGCGTGTGCGGGTGCGCGCATGTGTGTGCGGCTCGGGTGCCTGGGTAGCTCCTAGGCGTGGCTGGGACCCAGCACCGGCCTCTCCTTTCTCCCACCCACGGGGGCTCAGGGGCCAGAGGCCCTAAGGGGACCCTCCATCCCGCCTCCCCATCTCCTTCCTCCTACCTCCTGCAGCTGCGCCCCAGCACCAGCCACCCTGTGCAGCGCCGACTCCAGTTACCCTCTCCCGGCCGCCAGCTCCCAGCGCTCTGCTCTGACACCCGATCGGCTCTGAGCGGGCAGCCGCCCCAGGGGGCCGGGGACAAGCCGAGGGAGGGAGGAGACGGCTGGCAGCCGGCTGCCTGTTGGCCAACGGGCTCTGGCGGGAAGACACCGACACTCTTCCCTGTCATCTCTGGATGGATTTCAGCTTCTGGAAGGAGCCATGCTGTTTCTTCCTGTCCTCCCAGGCGTTGCATTTGCTGTTCCCTCAACCAGGAATGTTCTTTCTGTAACTCATGTCACCCCCAACAGCTCATTCCCTCCATCTCATTCCTGCTCACTCTTCAGATCTTTGCTGCCATGCGCCCTCCTCCAGGAAGCCTTCCCAGATGCTCCCAGCCTGAGAAGGGTGTCACCTCTGAGCTCCCTCATTGCCCTGTGCCCTCTGCTTCCCTCACTGCACCCCAATGGCACTATGTCACCATTGCCTGGTCACATGTTTGTGTCCGCCACCAGCCACATGGGTAGGGATGGTGCCACCTTTATTCCCAAGCCTGACACCAGTACACAGTTGGTGCTCAACACGTGTTTCTTAAAGGAGCCTTCGAGGCCGCCAGCCCCAAAGACCTTGAGCAGGACCTGTCTGGCTGAATCCACATCACCTGCCTGCACAATGTTCAGATAACTTAGAGCTGCATTCAAGGCCCTCCCTTGGACTGGCGTCCAGGGTGCCTGCTCTCTGGCCCTGTCTTAAGGGAGTTAACTAATCTGCAAAAAGGGTCTAAGGGGGCGCTGATCGCTTGTGTCCTTCATTTTAGGAGTGTCTGGGGAACTCTCACGTGGGCGGCCGCCCCACCTTCCCGCCCGGGTCACTGGGCAGCACCTGCCAGGCCCCGCCAGTGCCAGCAAGGCAGCGGGCTTCTCCCTGCCAGCAGTTAAGATGGCGCCCGCGGCGTCAGCACGGGGCGCGTGCGCCGTGGCGCGGGAGGCCAGGCGCGCAGGATGGGACCGTGGCTCCTCCTTCTTCCCCGTCCAGCCCCGTTTCCGGCGGAAGCGGCCTCAACAAGGGAAACTTTATTGTTCCCGTTGGGGCTGCGAGGATGTCGGTGAATTATGCGGCGGGGCTGTCGCCGTATGCGGACAAGGGCAAGTGCGGCCTCCCCGAGGTGAGCGCGGCCGGGGGTCCCGGGGGTCACGCCCCGACCCCGGGCCGGGCGGCAGCGGGGCATTGTGGGAATAGCAGGAGGCTGCGAGGCTAGACAATGGGAGGGACTTCCCAGTGAGGAGGGGGCGGGAAGTGACGCCCCCTGCGCGCCCCGGGGCGCTAACGCGCCCAGTTCTGGGGCCGCCGTCCGGTCGGGGAAGGCCTGGAAGGCCTGGAGGGCCGAGGGCGAGGGGGATGTAGATCCAGGAGGAAGGAGCGGCAGGGCTGAGGCTGGGAGGGGAATAAACACACTTGGAGAAGAAATCAGGCCGGGGGCTTCCAGACCGCGGCCAGGATGGGACTCAAACGCCACGCTGGGGGGTTGGCACTTTGTCCTGAGAGCCGGGCCGGGGCCTGGACACTGCGCCAGAAGGATCCCTGCAGCCACCCGCAGGGCGAAGGAGGGATAGGCTGTCCCCTCCATGTGCTGTGGGACTCAGGGGGCGTCCTTCCCTTCTGGGTCTCCATCTGCCTTTCTGCAAACTGGAGGCAAAGATCGCGCCAGTCCCATGCAGGCTGGTCCCTGCGTTCTGAGTCATGCAGTCGATGTGCCCTGATGGCCGGGCGCGGTGGCTCTCGCCTGCTATCCCAGCGCTTGGGGAGGCCGAGGCGGGAGGATGGCTGGAGCCTGGGAGTTGGAGGCTGCGGCGAGCTGTGATGATGCCACTGCACTGCAGCCCAGGCGACAGAGCGAGAGCCTGTCTCTGGAAAGAAAAAAAAAAGAGAGAGATCTGATTGGTGTGCGGTCCTTCCAGAAGCCCCAGTCTCCACTGCTGCTCTTATAACTTTAGTCCACGTTTATTGAGCACCTACTGTGGGCCAGGCACTTTCTAGCTCCTGGGATACAGCAGGAAGCAAGACAGACAAAATCAACCCCTCGTTGTAGTGCAGGAGACAGACCAGGGGCTGAGCTGAAACCAGGAGGGGTTGGGGTGGGGGTGGGGGCATCCCTAAGGTAACATTTGAGCCCATATCTGAAGGAGGTGGGGTGGGATTCATGTGGGAAGAGCATGCCAGGCAGAGGGAACAGCCTGTGCAAAGGCCCTGGGGCAGGACCACACCTGGTATGTTAGAGGACTTGGGGCTTTGACCCCGAGGGAGGTGGGAGCCAGGGAGGGCTACAGGCAGAGGAGGGACATGAAGACAAGCTGCCATCTCCAATCCATTCTCCTCCCTGGGGCAAGGAGAGGACAGCTCAGTCTGGCTCGTGCCTGGCCTTGCCACTTGGGGGACATGTTTTGACCCCTCCCTTGCGCTCTCTCCCCCCACAGATCTTCGACCCCCCAGAGGAGTTGGCGTGGAAGGTGCGGGAGCTGGCGAGGCTGGTCTGGGAGTCCTCCAACGTGGTGTTCCACACGGGCGCCGGCATCAGCACCGCCTCGGGCATCCCCGACTTCAGGTGTGGGAGCAGGGTGGGGAGGTCGAGGCAGGGCCCGCCACGCTGCCAAGAGCTTCCCTGCGAGCAACAGACTCTGGAGGGCCCAAACCCATCCTGCCGGTGGAGTCCTGGGTACTGGGGAGGGGAAGACACTCCCTCCCAGATGTGTCCTACACCCAGCATTCCACTCACCCGATTGGCCAGAGCTGGTCACCTGATCAGACCTAGCTGCAAGGGATGCTGGAAAATGTAGTGTCCTGTCTAGGCTGGCTGTGTATAGCTATCTGTTGGGGTTCGGTGACCATATCCTCTGTTTTTCTCTTTTCTCTCTTTCTCTGTCCCCAATTCTCTGTCTCTTTTTCTGTTCCTCCCAACTCTCCCCGCGTCACTCCCCGCCTGCTGCCTTCAGGGGCCCCTACGGAGTGTGGACCATGGAGGAGCGGGGCCTGGCCCCCAAGTTCGACACCACGTTCGAGAGCGCGCGGCCCACGCGGACCCACATGGCGCTGGTGCAGCTGGAGCGCGTGGGCCTCCTCCGCTTCCTCGTCAGCCAGAACGTGGACGGGCTGCACGTGCGCTCGGGCTTCCCCAGGTGACACCCGCGCCCCGTCCTGTCCCCACTCAGACCCCACTCCAGCCCAGCACTGCCTTGGTGGCCCCAGAAAGCACCTGCGGCTCCGTGGGGCTCCACGAACCTGAGCTGTCACCTGTTCCCACCTCCTGCACACATCTTGAGCCTTGGGGTCCCCTTTTCCTGCCGCTGGGAGACTCCAGCCCTGGGCCCTCTGGATCCTTCTTGGCCCGGTGTGTGGCGCTTCCTGAGCCCCAGGGCCCAGGGCTGTCCCTGCCGGGGCCAAGGGCTGTCCCTGCCGGGGCCCAGGGTGGCGGGGAGAGCTGTCAGGCTGTAGAGTTTGCAGAGTGTTAGGTTCTAACCTTCATCTTTACTCATTTCACACTGAGCATGAACTCAGTGTCCTGGGGCAGAGTGACTTCCTAATCTTAAGAGCGACCCTCCCTGCCCCACTTGGCCGGGTCTCACCCTGGGGCGACCGGTTGGAGCCAGGTCAGTTGTCCATATGAGAAGCCGGACACTCCGGAGCTGAAGGACAAGGAAGAGATTTTTTTTTTCTGCTTATAAAGGGGAATGAGACGCCTGTCCCCTTCTCTTAAAATGAGCCTGCGTCCTAACAGGCCCAGGTGGCTCTCACCACCTGCTACCGTGGCCAGGTTCTGGGGTTCCGGCTATGTCGACACGTCAGCGCCTGGGAACGATCTCGCTCTCAGATCCAGGACGGGTCAGAGTGACTGACTAGGCCAGGGGCTGAAAATCGAACTAACCTTCGTGGCCATGGCGGGCTGGGCTCCACGCCCCCAGCCCCGACCCTGTGCAGACAGGAGCAAAATGGGTCACGTTTATTTTGTTACGCATTGAGCACCTACTGTATGCCTCACCATTCTGGAGGGAGGACACAGAGTGACCCAGACAGATCCCTTCCCTCCCGCCCCTGACTGTGCGCTCTAGTTGGGCGGAAACAAAACAAATTCAATATGCGGATTCAACTCTGTGTTGAAAATGTAGCAGGGAGCGTGGGGGGCGGGGAGGGAGTCAGCTTTGGACAGGGAGGTCTGAGAGGGCTTGCGTGTGGAGGCGACATTCGGTGCAGAGAAGGTGACCAGGCAGCCGGGGGAAGAGCCCACCAGGCCTGATCGTTTGATCCCTCAAAACATCCCACCAGTTGGAGACATAGTTGTCCCATTTCACAGATGGGGACTGTGAGGCACAGAGGGGCCTGCCTGGGGCCACACAGCTGGGAGGCGACAGAGCTGGCATCGGATCTGACGTTCCTCTGCCTCCATGCTTGGGGGCCACTTGGGGCCTCGGTTTCTTCCTCCGCAAACTGGGAGCTAGAATTCCGCACCTGTGGAGGAGCGGGGCAGGCACTTTGTGGAAGGAATGAATGGGCTGCCCATCTGCGAAAGTGGAGTCAGCCTCGGGGGTTCCTGACTGCTTGGGCTCAGAGAGGTTGGGCCACCTGCCCAGGGATGCACAGCATGTGGGCGGTGGAGCCAGGAGCTGAAAAGAGGGAGTCGGTGGGTCTTACGGCTGACAGTCAGGGAAGGCTTCCTGGAGGAGGAGGACTCTGCACCAGGCCCACCCTGAGCCTCTTCCTCTTCCTCCTCCTCCTCCCCCTCCCACAGGGACAAGCTGGCGGAGCTGCACGGCAACATGTTTGTAGAGGAGTGTGTCAAGTGCAAGACGTGAGTGCCACCCGGGCCGGGGCGGGGGCTCGGCCACCACGGTGTCCCCAGGCACTCCCCAGGGTGGGCTCTGTGCAAGAGCCCCGGCGGGCGGGTGTCCACCCTGGTGACGCAGAGACCCAGAGGACATGGGGAGGCCGGTGTGGCCCTCCCGGCTACTGCCCTGGGGCTGCCACCACAAACTGCCACAAAGAGTAGCTTAAAACAATAGAAGCTTATTACCACCGGGGCAGGGAGGCCAAGGCTCAAACTCCAGGTGTCTGTTCCTGCCGCTGCTGGCGGCTTCAGCCGTGTCCCCATCCTCACGCGGAGCCCACGGCATCCGGGTCTCTTCCTCTGCCCCATCACGCGATGAGGGCCACCTGCCCCGCTAGGCCCTCGCCCAATCTAACGACACCTGCACCGAGCCCACGTCCAGTTAAGGTCGCGCCTTAAGGTCGCGCCGGGACTCCCTGGCGGTTACAGCCTCAAACCCCCATTCAGAGCATTTTGAGCCGGGTACCATTCTTGTGAGTTTCCCATAGGTTTGAAGTTTTTCAAAATAAATGTGGAGAGGACCGTTTTAAAGGAGGGAGCCCCAGCTGCAGGCTGGTCTCAGAGACGCCGCGCAGGGCAGGGGCCACGCTTTCCCTCGGGGGTCCGCACCAGGGCGCTCACTGTCGCTGGGAGACACCCACCTGCTCCCGAGGGTTTAGCCAGGTTATTTGTGGGTAGAATTATGTCTAAATTTTTTTTTTTATGTCTAAATTATTATTAAAAAAAAAAAATAGAGACAGGGTCTTGCTCTGTCCCCCAGGCTGGAGTGCAGTGCTGTGATCACAGCTCACTGCAGCCTCCAACTCCTGGGCTCAAGCGATCCTCCCGGCTCAGCCTCCCGAGTAGCTGGGACAACGGGTGCCGCCACCACGCCTGGCTAATTTTTCTATTTTTTGTAGAGATGGGGTCTCGCTGTGTTGCCCAGGCTGGTCTCAAAGTCCTGGCCTCAGCGATCCTCCCGCCTCAGCCTCCCAGAGTACTGGGATCACAGGCGTGAGCACCTACAGGGTCCAATGTCTTGAGCTTCCTTGTCCGGGACGGTGTCCGGCGTTTCCTTCTTTCCAGCGCTGTGACCCTGTGCAGCGTGGCGTGGGCTGTCCCATGGAAGCCCCCTCGCCCTGGGTTTGTCACATGTCTCCTCCCTTAGATTCTGGTCCTCTTCCCTCACCCGTGCCTCCCTGGGAGAGTATCTCGCCAGAAGAAACACAAGGGCCACCCAGGCAGGCTGACCCGGCCCTGTCCCCCGTTTCCTCCCCCGACACAGGCAGTACGTCCGGGACACGGTCGTGGGCACCATGGGCCTCAAGGCCACCGGCCGGCTCTGCTCCGTGGCCAAGGCCAGGGGGCTGCGGGCCTGCAGGTGAGCGACCCCTCCCCACGCCCTGGGCCCCGGGGAGGTGGCAGGGCTGCTGCGACACCCCCACCCTCCTCCTGGCAGGGGCGAGCTGCGAGACACCATCCTGGACTGGGAGGACTCGCTGCCGGACCGCGACCTGGCTCTCGCCGACGAGGCCAGCAGGTCTGACCCGGGGGCGGCAGGGGCTGTGGCCCAGGGGCAGATTCAGGGAGGGCTTCCTGGGGGAGATGGGCCGGCCGCGGCCGCAGGTGGGTGCTGCACGAGGTCCCCTTTACAGGTGACGAAGGAACTGAGGCTTTAGCCAAGCGACCCCTCCGTCCCACGCTCCAACCGGGGATCGCCAAGCCATGAGGCCCGGGTCCATGGCTGCACCAACAGCGGGGGTCCGGGCGGGAGGGGCCAGGCTGGAGCGCCCAGGTGAGCTGGACCCGGGCCGGCTCCAGGTGCCGGCAGGACCGGGGCTGGGAGGGCCAGGCTGAGCGCCCGCTCCCCGGCCCAGGACCGCCGACCTGTCCGTCACCCTCGGCACCTCCCTGCAAATCCGGCCCAGCGGGAACCTGCCGCTCGCCACCAAGCGCCGCGGAGGCCGGCTGGTCATCGTCAACCTCCAGCCCACCAAGCACGTACGTGCCGAGCCCGCCCCTGCCCGCGCCCCCGCGCCCCCGCGCGCCCTCTGCCCCGCCTGACGCGTGCCCGCCCCGCAGGACCGCCACGCCGACCTGCGCATCCACGGCTACGTGGATGACGTCATGACGCAGCTCATGGAGCACCTGGGGCTGGAGGTCCCCGCCTGGGCCGGCCCCCGCGTCCTGGAGAGGGCGCTGCCGCCCCTGCCGCGCCCGCCCAAGCCGGAGCCGGCGCCCAAGCCCGAGCCCAAGGAGGAGCCGCCCGCCAGGCTGAACGGCGCGGCCCCCGCCCACCCCAAGCGGGAGGAGCCCCCAGCCGAGCCCTGCGCCCAGCACCACGGCTCCCAGCCCGCCAGCCCCAAGCGGGAGCGGCGGGACAGCCCTGCCCCACGTCCCACCCCCAAAAGGCTCAGGGCGGAGGCGGCTCCCAGCTGACCAGGGCGCTGGGGCGGCGGCGCTTTGTGTACAAACCGCGGGCTCTCTTTTCCTTATGGGCTCACTGTGTGACTCCTATCTGTCCCCGGGGACCTCAGGGCACGAGGGCCAGGCCCTCCGCTCGTCTCCCGTGGCGCTGGGGACTCTGGTGGGGGCCTGGGAACGTGCCGCACGCCAGAGCTACCTCCGCCACGCCCAGCCTCTGACTCAGGTGTTCCGGGAGGCCGGCCTCACCCTCCCTGGTCTCCAGCCCACACAGCCACGAGCCCCTCTGTCCCCTCACACCCCCACCGGGCCGGCGCTGGGGCCATCCCCAAAGCCACCCTCACGTCCCGGGACCCCGGGAGGGCGCCACACCTCCACGAGGGACACACGGGACATGCTGGCACTGCCTTTGGGCTGCAGGGAGGAGAGGTGGGTCCACCCGGCCTCCAGAAAAGTCTCCAATGCAATAAAAGCAGAACTTCTTGCATCTGAATGTGTCTTAAGTCCTGACTCGTGCCGGGTCCTGGCGCCCAGAGGCGGAGTGCGTGGGCCCCCCGCCCCCATCTGCCTGTGCTGCTGCTGCAATCCTGCCCCGCCAGCCTGGGCTCCAGGAACCAGGGCGCACCCCGCACCCCCCCCCCCAACGTCCAGAGGGATCAGGCCAGTTTTCCGATGTTGGTGACAATACCAGCAGGTGGCATTTCTTTTTTTCTGTTTTGCTTAGCAATCCTCACCCCAGCTGGGGGGGGGATGGCATTCCGTGAGCACTCAGTCGGCAGTTGTACCCTGATTTGCGTGGTTTTTGTTGTTTAGTATCTGCCCCTGCGCTGCGAACCCCTTAAGGACAGAGGCCGCGTGTTTCTGGCTCAGTCGCAGCCCCGGCACCTGCGCTGCATAGCCCGGCTTTCGTCCCTCCCCAGCTGCGACCTAGTGCTGTCACTGTGCTTCCAACGCACCCGTCCCCAGGAAGGCGGCGCTGGGGACCTGCGGGCAGGGCCTCCCCGCGCCCCGCCGCTCTCCAAGGTGCTGAAGCCGCGCCTGGCGCCTCCCCGGCTGCCGCTCCAGCTCGGGCATGGCGGGTGTCCCGCGCCTCACTGCCCATCCCCGGCTGGCCCCGCCCTTCCTCCTGGCGCGCGTGGGGCCCCGCCCGGCCCCCTCCCCGCCGGATCACTGTTCCGTCAAAACACTTTATTAAGGACCAGGCAGTCCAGGCAAGCGCGGTCACTGTGGCCCTGGTGGCTCCGGGGCCAGGGTCCCTGCAGCCTCTGCCGCCTCCTCCTCCCCGTGTGCGACGGAGGCAGGGAGGGGACCCGGCTGGGGGTCGCCGGGGCACCTGTCGCGTCTGCGTGTGCGTGTGTGTCTTGTGTCTGGGTCTGTTTCGGGCTGTTTCCTTGTGCCCCTGCCCTGGCTCTGCGGTGGCTCAGCAGTCCCGGTGTGTGGCTGTGAGTCTGCGCCGAGGTCACCACCTCGCCCCCGATCCCCGGGGCTGTCACTGTCCACTGGAGCGCCCCGGAGGCAGAAGGGCCTGGGGGCTCATTCCCAGCGAGGCTCAGAGCTCGTCCCCCGCCGCCTCCAGCCCCGAGAGTCCGGGGCGGAGGACAGACTCAGGCGCCACCCAGTCCAGCAGGGCTGCCCGGCCCAGCTCCTCCGTCGAGCTGCCCAGGCCCAGGGTCGCGTTGTCCAGCTCCTGCGTGGAATTGTCCCGCGCCAGCGCGTCCCGGGCGCCCCAGTCCGCCCCAGGGCCGCCGGGAGACCCTCCGTGGGGCGCGCCAGCCTCGGGCCGGGGGCCTGGGGCCTCGGAGGCTGGCGTGGCGTCGGGGACCACGCGGGAGGCAGCGTCGTTGTGCAACGTTCTGGAAAAGACTGATGAGGGCGGGGGCCCAGGAGGGACGGGGTGAGGGTGGAGTCCCGCCCTCCTTCCCAAAGTCACCAGCTCCAGGGAGCAGGGCGCAGGGCTCTCCCCGCTTTCAGAGCACTTGGGAGCCCATGGGAACTGTACCCCCAATTGCAGCCATGACAGGGGTTCCGGGGGACCCCCTACCTCGCACAGGCGTGAAGTCCCCGGGGCTCTCGGCTTTGCTGGCGGCGAAAGGGCTGATGGAGGGGAGGATGATGAGGGCGAAAGACAGCAGCAGGACCTGGCAGAGACGGGGGCGGGGTCACCCCATCCCTCCCCCTCCCCTGTGAGCACCTCCATCTTGCAGGCAGGGAAACTGAGGCCCTGAGGGCTGATCGTGCTTGAGCTGGGGCATGAGGCCGTGCTTGAGCCACCCACCCACCCGCCTCCCTCGGCCTCCCACGGCCCAGGACCCCGTCCACCCTGGGGCTGGGACCCACCGCTATGCAGGTGCCCGTCTGGGCAGATTTGCCGGTGGACTGCACCACGAGGGCCTGGAGTTTCTTCAGCTGCTCCAAGAGGGACCTTAGAGGGACACGAAGGCTCTGGTGAGCCCTGCAGGGCCTTGATTCTGCTTCCTGCCCACTTCCTGGGGCTCCCCGCCCCACTGAAGTCCATCCACCCTGCTGGCGAGGCCCTGCTGCTTTTTTTTTTTTTTTTTTTTTTTTTTTTGAGACAGGGTCTCGCTCTGTTGCCCAGGCTGGAGTGCAATGGCATCACCATAGCTCATTATAACCATGAACTCCTGGGCTCACGTGATCTACCTCAGCCTCCCAAGGAGCTGAGACTGCAGGCACCATGCCCAGGTATTTTTAAAATTATTTCTAAAAACAGGGTCTCACTATGTTGCTCAGGCTGGTCTCGAATTCCTGGCCTCAAGCGATCCTCCTACCTCAGCCTCCCAAAACACTGGGATTGCAGGCATGAGCTACCGCGCCCAGCCCTCTGCTGCTCTTGAAAGCCCCATATTCTCCCTCTTTACCTCCACAAATCCCTATCAAACCCACAAAGGCCCACAAAACCCTGCATGACATGCCCCACCCCCTCCCTGCCCTGGTACACAGTAGATGGAAAATAAATATTGACTGAATGCAGGTGCAGAATCAGATGCAATTCTCAAACACACCATGCATCAGATGGCAGCTGCAGAAGTCATTTCCTCCACCAGAAGCACTCTCTCCTACCGAACTCTTATACATCCTTCAAGGCCCCAAGTCCAGATCCCTTCCTCTGTGCAGTCTGCCTCCTTTGTAGGCAGAGCCCTTATTCTCTGCTCCTTCCTGTGACCACATGGGCTCTCTGCCCTTCGTCCCCCATGTCCTGCAAGGGACTCTGGGCCTGCTCCCCCATCCTCTGCCCTGGATGGACCCAGACTCACAGATTTTGCTTCTCAAGGTGCAAGACTTTCCTCTGCAACTCTTGATTATGGGCAGTGCAGGCTGACATCCTGTGAGGACAATGGCGCAGTGATAATCAGAATATGCCTGTCACCATCTGGCCCAACTGACATCTCCCTGGGTGGCCTCACTTTACAAGGGGGGAACCCAAAGCCAGAGTGGGGAAGTCACTCATCCAAGGCCACTTGGAAAGCCCACAGCAGGGCTGTGATTTGAACCCACATCTGCCTGGTTCCTGGGTCCCATCTCTGTGTTAGTGTGGGGGGCTTTGTCCAAGGCAATGTCCCCAGGACTAGAAGTGGAATGCCAAACTCAGGCAGTGATGTTTCCAGAAGAAACCTTTGGACCCATCCTTATCTTGAGGCCTGATACTCTTGCACTTGCTATAGATTATTTTTTCTCATAGGAAGCACATGGGATTGCATGCTTTGTTCTTCAAGAAGGTGCATTAGGGCCTCTTTCCAGGTGATAGGCCAGGCACGTAGCAACCACAAGAAAGAAAAATTCCCCTCACTGAAAAGCCCTCCTGTTGATAACTCACAGGATAATGAAGAATTTATAATATAAATTGGGGGAGACCTAAGGACCAAAGGATCATGATGATAGTACACATCAAAATGTGTGGGGTGCAGCCAAAGCAGTACTGAGAGGAAAATTCATAGCCTCAGGAAGCTTAATGAGCTGAGCAGATACAATTAAAAATTAGCAAAATAACAACAGAATAAGCCCCCTCAATAAAAAATAAAGGAGGGATGCAATAAAGATAACAGTAGAATTGAATGTACTGAAAAACAAAACCACAAATTGGATAGGGGAAAAGAGAGAAACTCATTCTTTGATGTGAATAATAGGCAATTCTCTGGCAAGATGGATCAAGAAAATAAAAGAGAAACAGAAAATAAACAACATGAAGAATTTAGAAAGGGCATCACTGCACATACTGAAGAGAATAAAAATAATAGAAGAGAAAGCTGAACAATTTTATGCCAATAAATGTGAAATGGACAACTTCCCAGAAAACTATGACATCCCGAACTGACTTGAGAAGAAATAGAAAACCCAAGTAGACCTGTAACAGTCAATAAAATCATTCCAGCTTTCAAAAGTCTTGGCTTGCTTTTTATGTTTCTATTAAAGAACAGAGAGCCTGTGTCTCCTCAGTATCTTAAATGAGTCAAGAGAGAGGTGATTGGGTGAGATTTGGGTTTTTAGGTTGAAAAAGTTCTGCCAAGAATGAGCTCCCCTCCTTCTTGCTCCTCCTACCCAGGGGAGACATGGCAGCTCTGAGAACCAGTATTGCTCAGACAGGAAGTGCCTCCCTTCAGACAGGGGCCAGAATAGGACGAGTCACACCCTCCTTTCTTGTCACCACACCTTCTAGGGGGCGAAGGGACCCCACACCCTTGTCTTGGGCCATCTCAGACCATCCTGCCATCCCTGCAGTCAGCAGGAAAAACAATCTCTCCCAGAGAGACGAATCAACTCTGTCATCACGCCAGACCTAAAAAGTGTGACCTTAGCCACACTTCTCTGTCTGTCTGGGCCTCAGTTTCCCCTGGAGTGTAAAGTCCAGCCTTACCGAGTCTCCAAACCATCGATATATTCCTTCTTCTTTTTCCTGCTTTCTTGGGCGGACTGTTTATTCCGGATCTTCCGGCGGATTTTTTTCAGCATTCGCTCCTCATACTGGCGGGCGGAATGGGGAGGAGGCGGCATCAGCGGGGACTGTCCCTGCTCTTGTCCTGGCCCTGAAACTTCACCCCATTCTCTTCCCACGAGAGCCACCCCCGACCCGGGAAGACTCTTAATGACCTGAAGGCCAGCTTCCCACTCTCCAAACTCTTTTTTTAAAAAAACAAGTTGCTCTTTTTGAACCATCCTCTCCCTAAACTCCTACGGCTCCTGGGTGGCGACAGGTCTGCCCAGATGCCAATCCCATAAAATTGGGAGACTTTGCGCCTTGGCTCCACGCCGCCACCTTGTGGCCACCTCGGGGAACGGCACCTTTCCCCGGAGCCGGCTGGTGTTCAGACTAATTAACGTCCTCAAGTGGGAACGGCAAACTCAGGTGATGACATTGAGCGGAGCCAGCCAGGTGGGGATTATGGCGAGTCAGAGAGCCCAGCGGCTGCTCAGCCATCGATGGCCGCACGAGGAGATGTGGGAATATGGGAACGCTCAAGTTACCGAATTCCTCCGGTCAGGAAAAAAAGTTAGCGACCAATTTGGACAGGTATAAAATGCAGTGTAGACAAATCAAGACGGGTCTGCAGGACAGGCCTGGGCCTCGGGTCACTTGGTCTGTAAACTGTGGCCTCAGAGAGGCCATGGCAAAGCACGAAAGGCACAGGGCATGGTCCCTGCTCCCAGACTGCCACCGCCCGGAGACTACCTTTCGTCCCTGGGGGTTGGGAACTGCCCTCTCTCTGGGCTGGATTTAGGACAGGCTTCTGGCTCTGGTGACAGACACATCCTAGCATTCCAGCGTGGGTGGGTGAGACAGGGCGGGGGGTGACACTGACAGGCAGGTAGCTGCAGGAAATGGGAGCGACCTGGGCCAGGACTCCCCCGACCCACCTTGGTGAGGGGCAGCTGGGTGGGCAGAGTGATGCCTTCTTTGGCCAGAAGCTTCTTCTCGTCCTCGGTCAGCACCAACTCCTGACAGTGCCCGGTCCCGGGTCGCAGCAGGTGCGGGGCTGCCAGGTGATGCTGCTGCTATGGAAGAAACCAGGGGAATTATGTCGGGTGCAGGCGCACTGGCAGCCTCCAGGAAACGAGAGGCATCAGATCCGAGAAACGATCAATCCGTGCACTGCACAATCTCCGCCGGCGACAAGGCTCAAAATAACCCGCACACACGGACCTTTGACCTGGCCATTCTACTTCCGGGAATCCATCCCGCGGTTGCCCTAACACATGTGCACAAGGACGTGTGTACACGGTTTTTCATCTCTTCAGCCAGCAGTCATTCACCCACCATTTGTCCAGCACCTGCTCTCTGCCAGGTACCGTTCTCGGTCCTCACCATTCATCGCAGTGCAATGGCTGGGGACAATGGAAATATCCGGCAGACAGGGGACAAGTTCCAAGGATGTGCACAACAATGATATGAAAAATGATGCATTTATAAAAGCCAGGTATCATTTATTTCTCCTTGCTCATCCTTCAAGGCCTGCTGGAGTGCCGCCTCCTCCAGGAAGCCTTCCTGGGCCCACAATGACCTTGCAGGCTGTCTCTTTCCTCTGGGCACCTCCATGAGCAGCACGTCTCCCCATCTTGACCCTCAGCTCCTAGAGGCTGAGCCCAGAGCGGGTGCTCACTGCATGACTCTCAAGTCACCAGGGACTCCCCTGCCTTCCTTAGAGAGGGTTGGAATAACCTCTGGCATCAGAGAAACAGGAACTCAAACCCTCACTCTTGCCACTGACATGCTGTGTGACTTCAGGTTAGTGGCTTAACCTCTCTGGGCTCCAACTTTCTCATCTGCAAAATGCGGCACCAGCCGGGTTGTCAGGTGTGCGAAGCCCTTGGCAGGGCAGATGGCACTCAGTCGGTGTGCGACAGGCACGATAAGCCCAAGAGGCCAGCCCAGGGTTCGAGCCTACAGCAGCAGTGTGGCTAATGGCAAGCTACTGAGCCTCTCTGTGCCCATCTCCTCATAGGTAAAGTTAAGATAGTAAAAGCTCCAGTCTTCAAGGTTGCTGTAAATTTAAAGAGGATGAATTCAGAGCAATGCCTGGCATATGGTAGGTGCGTAGTAAGTTTTAGCATTTTATTTTTTATTTTTTAACTACTAATACTATAGTGGAAGATGCCCCAGACCAGGAAATAGTAAACTCGGACTGGAATTGTCTGTAACCTTCTGCAAATCCCAGCTCCTTTCTGTGACTCAGTTTCTTTCTTTCTTTCTTTCTTTTTCTTTCTTTTCTCTCTCTCTCTCTCTCTCTCTCTCTCTCTCTCTCTCTCTCTTTCTTAGACAGAGTCTCACTTTTGTCGCCTGGGCTACAGTGCCGTGGCGTCAGCCTAGCTCACAGCAACCTCCAACTCTTGGCCTCAAGCAATCCTCCTGCCTCAGCCTCCCTAGTAGCTGGGACTACAGGCATGCGCCACCGTGCCCAGCTAACTTTTTCTCTATATATTAGTTGGCCAATTAAGTTCTTTCTATTTATAGTAGAGACGGGGTCTCGCTCTTGCTCAGGCTGGTTTCGAACTCCTGACCTCGAGCAATCCGCCCGCCTCGGCCTCCCAGAGTGCAACTCAGCTTTCTAGTCTCTGAAGTGGGGGTTTCGGCACTCCATGTCACCAGAGCCGTCCTGGCTCCCATGCTCCGGGGGAGGGGCGGCTGCTCACCAGGTCCCCACCGCTGCCGGAAAGGAGGAGGTCTTTGACTGTGAGGTTGCAGCGTGCGGGCAAGTCCACCGGCTCGGCCAGCTCCTCAGCGTACAGGCTTCCTCCTGGGCTCCAGGTTCCTGATCAGGACAGGCGGGGACAGAGGCAGAGAGGGTGTCAGGTGGCAGTGGGTGGGCATCCTGAGCTCCCCAGCCTCTATTTGCCTCCTCCAGGAAGTCTGCCATGATTGACCCGAAGGTGCTTAGAACCTCTGGCAGAGCTTGGGCTTCCCACGGCCTGGGGTGGAGGGGACAGCCCTGGGCACAGCCTCGGTGTCCCCACCGCTATAAGATGGAAGCCCAGATGCAACAGGGCACTGCTCTGTGTGTCCCACAAGGCACGAGAAGGCACTGGACATTGTCCGGGACCCGCTGCCTACCCAGGAGGGAGCGGCTCTTATCACCGGGCTATAGGCTAGACGTGCAGCCAGCGGGTCTTATCTCCCCGGGGGCCAGGGCGCCGCGTGATTCAGCGCCGGTCCCCACCCCTCCCGGTGCCTGGCACGCAGTAGACAGGCCGCTGAGAACCTCAGGTCCGAATCCGCGGGAGCTGTGTGGCCTTGGGTAAGTGACTTCACCTCTCTGAGCCTACGTTTTGTCAACTCTGCTCAAGGGAGGCAGGACGCCCCCCAGCCGAGGCTGCCCAAGCCCGCCGGGCGCTGGATGGGGCTCCGGCAGGAAACGATCGCTGCGCGGCCCACCGCCTTCTGACAAGGCCTGTAGCCAGCTGCGGGGGACCCGTCACCTCCCGTGCTTCTGTCCAACGTCTGCTAGAGCCAGCGCGGGGGTGCGAAGGCGCCCTGCCCTCCTCGGTCACTTAACGTGGCGGGGACTCAGTTGCGCTATCTGGAAAATGGGCTCACGGCCGGCCGCATGCACCTGGGAGGGCGGGGGAGCGTCCACAGCAGGGGGGCAGGCGCGGCGGGACTCACCCAGGTCTATGGCCACCGAGGACTCGAGCACGGGGACGACGGGCCCCGGGGGCCCGGCGGGGCAGGCGGGGCTGGGACGGTAGTCGGGGCAGGGCCCGGCGGGACGGCAGGCGGACGGGGTGGCGGGGAGCCCGCTGCGTGGCGGGGTGTCCTGGGGGTCGGAGGGCAGGTCCTCGGAGATGCCGCTGTCACTGGCCGCGGGCGACCAGAGCGGGGAGCCGGGCGCCGAATCCCCCGAGCCCAGGATGGAGCTGAGGAAGTCGTGGGGGTCGGGCCCTGTTAGCGCCTGCTGGGGAGGACAGGCAGGGGCAGGAATTAGGACGCCCACTCCGTGCCTTAGGTTGCTGTGTGACCCTGGGCAAACCACCCACCCTCTCTGGGCCTCAGACGTCCTTTCTCCAAGATAGAGCTGATGCTCTCTTCTCTCGGCCTGGGGTGGGGGTGGGGGGGGGCTCAAGCACAACCATGTGACATGGAAACACCCCGCCAGGGAGACACAAGCTCCGAGTTAAAATTTGGACCCAACTCCAAATTGCTGTGTGACTTTGCACAAGTTGCCGCCCCTCTCTGGGCCCCCATGCCCCACCTGTAGGAAGCAGCCCACGCGCCCCTGAGACACACGTCGCTAAAATCAAGCGCCACGCACGAACCAGAAGCGCTCCCTGGCGCTGCGCAGGGGGCTGGCCGGGCGCGGGCGCGCGCGTGCCGCGGGCCCCTCACCTGGTCCTCCGCGCGGCCCCAGGCCTCGCCCAGCTCCACGTGCCGCAGGACGCCGTCCTGCCGGTCGAACAGGAGGTCCAGGAGCTCCAGGCCGTCGGCGGGCCCCTCGGGGCAGGCGGAGAAGGCCATCTGCGGCGCCAGGGACAGGCGTGAGGGTCGCGGCCGGCCTCCCCCGCTCCCCACCCCGTCCAAGCTCAGCCTCCAGCTCGGGCCTCCACTTCCAAATCTGAACTGTGGGGCGATGCGGAGCGTCCAGAGGCACCAGAACCAGTTTCCCTAAAACGCGCCGGGGAGAGGCCCTGGCTGGGGACCGAGCCAGCCCCCCGTCGAGGTCCCGGCCACCTTCCCGGGCCACCGCAGCGCCCCTCCTGGGAGGCGGGGGCCCAGGAAGAGGACAAAAGCCAAGAGCAGCCCCAGAACGGAGGCGAGATTCTGCTCACTGCTTGTTTCTCTGGCCTCAGTTTCCCCATCTGTGCAATGGGGGTGCAGGGGGCTTCCTTCCAGCTCCGGCGGCTTGCGGAGGGGTTCCTGGCCTAGACCCGCTCCCCCGGGACCGCGCGGGGCTCACCTGTCCAGCCGCCAAGCCCCCACTCATGTCCGGGCGTCGGGGCGCACGGCCAGCGCTCCCGCCCGCGGCTGCTCTCCGGCCCCGCCGCCCCAGGATGCCCAAATAGGCCCAGCGGCGCCGGGCGCCCATTGGCGGCCGCGACAGACGGACGCGGCCAAGCGCCAGTGGCGCGCGGCGGGCGGGGCGGGGGCGGGAACCCCGTTATCTCCGCTGTGTTTTGCGCTTTTGCAGCCGCAGTGGGCAAAGGCCAAAGTCTGGGGTCCCCGGCTCTGCCGTGACCTCTCCCCTACTTACGGGCCTCGTCCTGGGAGTTCGCAGGGGCCCGGCCGGCTCCAGCCTAACGCGGGGCCCCCGGGCGGGTCCCCCGCACTCGCGGACAGGACGAAACCGAGAAGGCCAGCTCTGGGCCAGGAGCTCATCCCAGCTGGCGACCGCACGCCCACCCTCCCCTCCGAGACCAGCTGTCAGTTCTTTCTCGAACCTTCCATGGTTCCTTTAGTCAACACATATTTACTGAGCCAAACTCGCTCCTACCTCAGGGCCTTTGCACTGGCTGTTCCGGCTGCCTGGAACTCCCCTGCTGTCCCCTCCCCCTCCGCGCCCAGCTGCATGTTGACGCTGTCATGAATATTCAGTATTTGTGACTGAGGGACCCTGTCTCATCTACCCCAGCACAGAGGAGCCTGCCCCAGACCTCTCATTACGCCACTGTGGCCATTGAACCCCAAACTGTTAGAAATTTTCTTGTTTGCATACTTGTCTATTGGGGTTTTTTAGGTTTTGTTTTGTTTTTTAGACAGAGTTTCACTCTTGCTCAGGCTGGTCTCGAACTCCTGGCCTCCCAGAGTGCTAGGATTACAGGTGTGAGCCCCCGAGCCCAGCCTTTGTCTGCTGTGTTTCCTCGCCCCCACCTAGCCCACAGCTTAAGGACCAGGATAGAGTGTCTCTTGTTCAGAGCCGGGTCCCCAGTGTCTAAGAAAGAGCCTTGTACACAGTAGGCGCTTAATCAGCTCCTACTCGTGGAGCAGCTCCTCTGTGCCACCCACTGTCACAGGCACTAGGGATGAAGCCAGGGGTTAGCCAGACCATAAATGCATCAACAAGGAGCAAACAGGCAAATGAGCAAGAGCTACCAAGACACTAACATAACCATGGCGCAGGGTCCCCTGTTAGAAGATGACATTTACAGACAACCTCGAATCATGAGATGGAGGCAGCTGTGGGGAGACAGAGGGGAAGGATGTTGCAGATTGAAGAAACAGCCTGTGCAAAGGCCCTGGGGCAGGACCTCGCCTGGTGTGTTGGAGGCACAGCAAGGAGACCCGTGTGGCTGGAGCTGAGTGGGGAAGGGGAGAGAAGGAGGAGTAGAGGGCAGGGAGGGGACAGGGCAGGTGGCACAGGGCCTGGTGACTCACATCTTTAATCCCAGCACCTTGGGAGGCCAAGACAGAAGGATCACTTGAGGCCAGGAGATTGAGACCAGCCTGGACAACATAGCAAGACCCCATCTCTAGAAAAAGTAATAATAATAATAAACTAGCTGGCCATGGTGGCATACACCTGTTGTCCCAGCTACTCAGGAAGCTGAGACAGGAGGATCGCTTGAGCCCAGGAGCTTAGGGTCGCAGTGAGCTGTGGTTGTGCCAACGCACTATAGCCTGGGCAACAAAGCGAGGCCCTGTCTTAGAATTTTAAAAAAGAAAAGAAAAAAGAAATTCCCATCGGGTTTGTATTTCTCAATGGACCAGTCGTCAGTCATATACCCGTGCAACGGAAATTTAATGAGGGGCTACTATGTGCCACGCCCAATGCGGTTCTTTTATCCTGCAATGACTCCCATCACAACAGTTGCCCCAGGGGACACTGGGGGCAATGTCTGGGGACATCTGTCACTGTCGCGACTCAGAGGAACTCCTGGCATGGGGCAGGTAGGGGCAGGGACACCACTCAGCACCTGCAGTGCCCAGGACGGCCCCTCCCCAGAGAAAGATCCAGTGCCAGTGTCCACGGTGCCCCGGGTGAGACCCCGATTGCAGTAACTGTCCCCCCAGATGTGGGTCGGATGATCTCACCCTTGGCCTCTGAATTTTCCTCTTTCCGTTTTAACCAGTCTGTGTTGGATCCCAGGGGGATGTTTGGTTTGGCCTGGAGCTAGCGAGCCCAGTCATAATATTTACTCAGCAATGGCCGAGGGGCCCTGCTCCAGGGCTGTCAGGGCGGGTGATCAAGTAGGTGAAGTTTGGCTTCTGGAGTCTTCTCTGCCTCCCTCTCCCCCGTTTATGGCTCTTGGCAGCGGGGGTGCCCCGGCGATAGAGCTCTCCCTCTCTCATCAAGGCCGTGGCGCACGCCTGTAATCCTAGCAACTCTGGGAGGCTGAGGCAGGAGGATCACTCAAGGTCAGGAGTTCGAGACCAGCCTGAGCAAGAGCGAGACCCCATCTCTACTAAAAAAAAAATAGAAAGAAATTAATTGGCCAACTAAAAATATACAGAAAAATTAGCCGGGCATGGTGGCGCATGCCTGTAGTCCAGCTACTCGGAGGCTGAGGCAGGAGGATCGCTTGAGCCCAGGAGTTGGAGGTTGCTGTGAGTGAGGCTGACGCCACGGCACTCACTCTAGCCTGGGCAACAGAGTGAGACTCTGTCTCAAGAAAAAAACAAAAACAAAAACAAAACCCTGCTAGAAGAAGGAATCTGGCAGTAGTCATTTGCACCTGAATGTGGATTTAGACCACTTAGTCCCCCTTCCAAAGATATTTGGAGTTTAAATCTTTTTTGAAAAAATAATTGTGAACTCTAGAAGGCTTTCATATACCCCAGTGAAAAGATTTCAGGTCTCTGTGAGCAGGTAGCATAAGAATAAACAGTTGAGGGGCAGAATAACTTTTCTGACAACATACTGTTTGATCTACTGAATTCGATAATGGACTTCAAAGCAACAGTGAGTTGGAATCCAACGTGAAGTCTCCACAATAGTTTCCATCCATGTGTTCCAAAAGGGTGCTGTGATCAAGGAGGATTGGGGAACACTGCATTAATAGATAGCTTTGCAGAACTTATCAGAGCCTTTATAATGCACTGTAACATTCTTGGAAGGGACAGAGTTTCTAGTATTTCCCTAACATAATTGTGTAAGTGTGAGTTCTGTTTCTAATTTGTAATTGATGTATTTGAAACTATTTCTGTCATATGAAAATATATCAAGATACTCAGTAGAGGCCGGGACAGTGGCTCACGCCTGTAATCCTAGCTCTCTGGGAGGCCGAGGCAGATTGCTTGAGGTCAGGAGTTCGAAACCAGCCTGAGCAAGAGTGAGACCCCGTCTCTACTATAAATAGAAAGAAATTAATTGGCAACTAATATATAGTAAAAATTAGCCGGGCATGGGTGCCGCATGCTGTAGTCCCAGCTACTCAGGAGGCTGAGGCAGGAGAATTGCTTGAGCCCAGGAGTCTGAGGTTGCTGTGAGCTAGGCTGACGCCACGGGACTCACTCTAGCCTGGGCAACAGTGGACTCTGTGTCAAAAAAAAATAAAAAATAAAAAATAAAATAAATTGGGGTAATTTATTTAGAAAAAGAAAGAGGAGGAGGAGGGTGAGGAGAGCTCTAATATATATTAAATATAAAGGACAAATGTTTCAGAACAAACTTGCCCGACCGTATTGCAGGCTGAGACAAAGAGAAAAGCGTGTGCCCTCCAGACACTCGTAACAAAACCTGCTCGCCTATTTTGAAGGACGTGGGCAGAGTTAACGCAGGCTTGGCGGCCAAACAAGCCCCCGTGTCGGGCGCGCTGCCCAGTCTGTTTGCACAGCGCCCTCAGCCCTCATCCACTCCCCCGCCAAGGACCCAACACCAAGTGTGCCCAGGGCCTGCAGGTCCCCATGGCGCAGTATTCCAGTGGCATCCAACACACAGCAGCCAGTCTTTTTTTAAAAAAGAAAAAATATATATATTATTTGGCATTTTGTTTAATTCCGTGTTCAGATCTCTCTCTTCCCCACCAAGGTCGCATGCAAGCATGGGGCGCAGTGACTAGCACTTCGCACTGGGCTTGGGTGGCCGGTCCCGCCGGTCCCGCCTTTCCGTGGCTGGCCGGAGCCCCCTGGAGGAGCAGCTTTTAATCCCCCCTGGCACCGCTCAGAGCACGGTGGGAATTCTAGAATGTTCCGCCAGTACTGGGTTCTCTGAAATCTTTCCCACTTGCACATTTCTGTCTGTTCCTCTGTGTTACCCGCGGGCTGTCGAGTCCTCGGCGCTGAATCACCGCTACTCTCATCTCATGATGCCTAGAATTTGTTTGCACCGAGCCCCAGTGTGATTTTTTTTTTCATTAAAATATAACATGCGTTTAAAACCCTGCAGATCTTAAGCATGCAGCCTGGTGAATTTTCTCCCGTATAGAGATCTGCATACGCTTCTCTCAGATCACGACGTAGAACGTTCCAGGCCTTCAGAAGCCCCTTCCCGATCTCGACTCACTCCCGGGCTAAACATCGTCCTGCCTTCTCGGCCAGAGCTGGCTTCTGTTAGCATCTCCCCCGAGTATCTGCCACTGTCTTCGTGCTTGTTGTCATCTTTCCACGGGCTTTGCATGTGTTTAGTAGAATCCACCAGCAAATCTCGACAGCCCTGCATTCAAAATGTATTCATTGCTCACCCCCACGTGGCCACCGCCACCATCCCGGTCCAAGACCATCGTCACTCTGCTAATCTCTCTGCCCTCACTCCTCACTGGCACCCTTTACACACCGGGCATGGCCCTGCCCCAGGGCCTTTGCACCTGCTGTCCTTTTTCTAGAATACCCCTCCCTACATCTCCTCATGGCTGGCTCCTTGCTCTGGTAGATCTCTGCTCAAATTCACCTCCTCCAGGAAGCCCTCCCTGACCACCTTTCAAATCGCAGCCCCCTTCTCAGTCACTGCCCCACTTTTATGTCTCTTCCTAGACGATCACCCTCATCTGACACGCCATATATTTGGTGTGTGTATTGCAGCATGCATGCATGCAACAAACTTTTATGGAGTGTCTACCCTGTGTCAGGCCAAAGGACACACATCCTCTGGGACGTGAATA